TGCGCGATGCTTGCTCAAAGCTCGACACGGTCGTCCCGATGCCTCACGCGTAGATCCCGGGACATCTTCCGCATTCGGCGAACAATAGGGCCACTTGACGCCGCTCGGCCAAAGCACGTGCTTCGCTCCATGCCACACTGACGTAGCCGGTCTTTCCCGATTAGGTATCGAACCTCGCGGCATGCCTTCACGACGGCTATCGGTCCAAAGTGGCCATATGTTGCTCTTCATCTCCGCGTTTGGCATGACATCACTCTACGGATGGACTTGGTATGTGCCCCTCGGTGAGGCAGCTTCTTGAGGAACAATGCAAAGCCCCTTGTACTAGTGTGCCATTTTCAATAGTCGTAGCATCCTGTGTAGTATAAAATCTGTCGTACTTCTCTCTAAAAATACAAGATCCGGTTCCCCCCTCGAGTTCAGAACTCATAAGTCGAGTTCACCCTGCGTCTAAGCCTTCAACTGCGTCACTTTGTCCCTCGCTGCGTAACTTCGAAACCTCATCCACTGCGTTTACTCGTTGATACAGTCTCGACGAACCCTTCGACTTCGATGATTGTCGAAGAAACTGCGAACCATGTCCTAGCTAAGTCCCTGTAAGGATTTACATGCATGCGCCGGTCTCACATCATAACCTCTACACCAAAAGGGTGCAATGTCAAGCTTGGCTTGACATCTGACCGGAGGTATATATGCTGATCATATGCCAACTCATGACATTATCCCCCTCCCAGGGCACATGACCTCATGTGGATCCATATAATACCCTGACCCCAAGGGTTACCAACTCTGGCTTAACCTTGATGATCTTCTGAGAGTTCAGGAGGACCCCATGTAGTCCGGTCACCTGACCATCTGGACCTCAGACACCAGCCCCCTTCACTGCCAAGCAATCACATATCACATGTGACCTCTGGTGAATTTGCTCGAAATGTCTGCTCACATGGGGAGTTGAACCCTCGACCACTTGAAGCTTGACATTTTGTAAGGATTTACATGCATGCGCCGGTCTCACATCATAACCTCTACACCAAAAGGGTGCAATGTCAAGCTTGGCTTGACATCTGACCGGAGGTATATATGCTGATCATATGCCAACTCATGACAGTCCCCCCCCTTCGAGTCGTGTCCCTTCCTTCTACGATACATCGAAGAGCTCTGCCGAGCTTCGATCGTCTCCACTAACCACCCCCAGCCTCCGAGTAGCTTCGACGACGTGTCGAAGCCACCTCGTACCTTCCCTAGTGTTTGTAGCCTTGTTCAAAGGCGTTTCTCGTGTTCACTTGAATCGCGGGACACCTTGCTGCTAACTCCCCTCTCACTAAGACTATAATCCGTCTCTCTAGTCCCTTTAGGTCGCACCCAGGTTAGGGGTTAGGGTTTTGTAGGTCGTATCACCGTCCTATCTAATCTAATCGTACAGTAGATATGATGTGTCCGTATCAGGCAAGTAATACAGAGGTCACGGGTTCGAGCCCGCAAAAAGGAAAAAATTAAAAACGGCTAGACGCCGTACCAACTCGTGACATATATACTATATACGGCTGCCGTAAACAGCACTGATATCTCTGAGGGATGAGCGCATGTCACCCCCGAGGTGCCGAGCACCGCTATGCCCCATGCTGCCTATCTGTACTTTTTGCGAGGAGGTCTATCAATATTGGCTTTGCTGTAAAAGGCTGCAATTGAACGTGTGGTGGCGGCGGTGGCCTATCGTGATACAAGGTTTGGAAAAATAGTTCCTACTACTCCACACTGGCAGCGCTTGTCCTTGACAGACTTTCCACGGTGTTGCAGGCTCGGCAACCCGGCACGAAATAGCGCGAACAGTACGTTGAGTGCAAATTCAGCCTTTGCTGGTCGTGCAAGTAGATACGGGATTCCTCAGGTATTATAGGCTCGACGTGTTTGCAATTTGCCTTCATTTACCACTGAGAGCATAAGAGGAGGGCTTCATCACTTTCCCGTGGCGTTGGCTTACGATAAAGTTCCGCACCATATGTTCTGGTTCAGCCCGTTATCCAGATAAGGGTGCACAAGGATGTGAGACCCTAGTCGACCATCCTGAGGCATTTTTGTGAAGACTTTGGGCGACCATCATAAACTTGATGGTTCTGCAGTGATTGCTCCGAGACGTTTTGATCAAAGTCCCTGTGTGCCTTGAAGACCTGAAGCACCTCACTGCATAAGTCCTGTCCAGATGCCTTCAAATATGGACGAAGTATCATATCTCTACCTCTTGTTAGCTCCCACCGATGGATGATAGATGTTCAAGGTCGGGAGTTCCGGCAGGGGGGTATGGTGATAAGTTATACTCTATCAGCAACTTAGCGGCTTTCTGGCGGCTCTTGACGCGCTAATGTCTCAACCAGTTTCATGAGCTTGAGCCTTTTTGGCACAGGGCGCTGAATATAGTGGACCGACTCCGCTGAATTTAGTGGATCGACTCCTACATCCGTCTTTAAGACTCTGTTGATTATCTGTTCACGAGATACGAAGTAATTGGATTGGACCATTGCAAATGTAGGTAGATATAATATACGCTACCTGTATCCGAGAGGCAGCAGCTGTCACCCTTGGCAGACTGCGTACCATCCCCGAGTCCTGGCCAACGCTACCATGAGCGTTGACAATCGCCCTAGACTGCCAGTACTGCCAGTGCTCCTGCTGCAGAATGCTTTCCTGTCAGCGCTCATCGCCCTCCACCCGAAAGGGCCTGTGAAGCTAGCAGCATTCGCAATATACACCTACAGTCTCGGACTGGTGCTCACCAGTACCACCGGGGATCTTCAGCAGAATTATTCTCTTGGCTGCTCCTTCGCATCGCAGTTCTTCACCGCATTCCACCTCCTGTGGCTTACGGACCCCTTGAACGACCTGCGCCACGAGCGCGAATATATTGCGCCTCCAGCGCTACCGTTCCTGCGCCGAGTGTATTGGGCATCATGCGTCATGTCCAGCCCACGCGGAGTAGGATGGAATTACCAGGTGTGCACATCGCTATTCTTGCCCTTCCAATGCTCATGCGCCACCCAATTCGCTTCGCTCCAGGTCGCAAACGTACCTCCTCGTCCTAGCGAACCACGCTGGACGTTTGTGCGCTATCAGCTACTGTGCGCATTCAGATGGTACTTGCTCGTCGACCTCGCACAGACCTACCAGCGCTCCAACCCATCATTCTCCCAGCATGATGCCAACCTGTTCTCTTTGAGCGCCCAAGACTACATTCAGCGATGCGTCAACATCGTCGCGCGGTTTAGCCCGTCGTATGGGATGATCGCCATGCCCTATTGTCTGCTCTCCGCGCTGTCCGTCGCCATGGCATGGTCCCTGCCCAGGGACTGGCCCACCGTGTACGGAGCGTGGGCCGACGCACACACACTGCGGCGATTCTGGGGGTGAGTTCTCAGTCAGCTAGGGCGTTCGGAACACTACAGACACTGATACACATGACTGTGCCTTTGCGCAGGCGCACCTACCATCAGTTGCTACGCCGTGTATGTACGCTGTTCGCACGCTCGCCTTCTTTGATCCGCTGATAGCCATGGCCGTATGATGTGATGCGCACAGTACACTGCGTCAATGGGCAAGGCGTGCTGCCGCCTGCTGGGACTGCGCCAGGGCTCCTGGGCGTCGTCGTACACGCAATTATATGTCGGGTTCGCGGTGTCGGGCCTAATGCATTGCGGCGGCGACTTCATGGTCAGCCCGAAGCTGTTCGGGGCGTCGTTCCCGTTCTTCATCGCCCAGGCAGCGGCGATCTCACTCGAGGACGCGGTCGTTGGCTTGGCGAAGCGGACCGGTATGCAGGCGCAGTGCCCGGATGGCCTTGCGCACGCGCTTGGATATGTGTGGGTGTTCGTGTGGCTGAACATATCGATGCCGTTGTACCTCAACTGGTCGATGCGTGCGGGGGTGATTGACACGAGTCGGATGCCTTTCTCGCTGGTGACGATGCTTGTCCCTACTATCACGACTGGTGCGGCGCGGCTCCTGTCCTTGACAGCACTTTCTGTAAAGGCGTGACTGTTAAGGCCGCAGAATATTTGTCCTGTCTGGCATGATAAATGAATACATTTTCATCATTCTGCCATCGTTGGTACTTTGTAATCATCATCACCAAGGCACACGCTCTATAGAATCAGAATAAGCTCACTTAGAATACGATTTGGATCTGTGGTTATGTTGTCGCTCGCATCTGTACAAGGTGTGAGATCCCATGTTGCTGGATACAAGACATGTTGATCTTAACCTTACCTCAAAGACACAGTAACCGCCACGAATTGTTTCCTGAGGTCTGACAGAGTGTACTGTCAGAGCTGATTCGAAGTTTGCTCCTATCCACATCTAGATGCTCGTTTGTTGTGACACGTGCGTCTCGAAGGATAACCTAGTGCAGTGTCCGTGCAATGTTATGTGAATGCCAGCGGAGATCAAGAGAGATTACCTACTAGGTTGCATAATTGCGCAGACGAGTCCGTCCTTTCGTTACAAATCTCCCTGTTCCCCACCTCAGAAAATATTCCTATGAGGCGCCTCCTATCTGATGATTTCGGTTGCTTTAGTCGTGAGCACATGCGTAACTCCGTAGTAAAGTGCGTGATAAAAAGGAACAAGCTCACCTTGTGTTATCTCATCAACCCTTCTGCGCACCAGCGCTCTGTGTATATTTAAGGTGTAGCGGATCTAAAAGCTTGCTGACTACCGAACGGCGCGCAACAGTGATGAGCAACCATGTCAACATCGTGCATAACAACGGCTTCGGTGAGGCAACTGCTTCGCAATTAGGGCATAGGCGAATACAATTGACCAAGAAGATTCCAGTTAATCATGGACCCCAGACTCGACCAAGAGAAGCTCATTAAGCGCAAGATAAGTGCACTTATGAGCTTTCTCGCCCGATTATGCCTGCAAAAAGCCACAGCTTTTTTCTCATCTGACCTGTCAAACCAGTGGGTTTACACGCAACACTTGCTTGCTCGTCAGGTGCCGCTTCGAGTAATATAGTAACTTCAGGTTATGCGGGTGCGCTGCAATGTCTGCACGAGTTGTCGCAGATACGAGAACAGTGGAAGCTACGGCATCACCCGTACATGATGGTGTTTTGCACGTGATCAGGCAAGATGCGCAGTGTGAGATCGCGATCTGGACGATCGAGCTTGCACTTATCTTGTTCTGTACTCACCGGCCATTTAGACTTCATTTGCGATTCAGCTTCTCCTGCTACGTGTTCTGCATTTATCATGTCAGTAGCAAGCACGAGCACATCATCAGATCCCTGGGACCAGCCGTTTGTGAGTCGTATGAGGATGTCGTGCGATATGGAAGACTAGAAGAGATCCTTAGCATGCACCTCGTCGCGTAGCTCCAGCACAGGCAGTACCAGACGATTGGGACAATGATGACGAGGACGAAGAGGGGGAGGAGGACCAACGGCAGATGTGGGAGAACGCGTGAGTGCGTCTCAGTGCTCTGTGAGACTACGACGGCTCATGCGAGATGCGACCGCAGGAATAGCAAGGCACCTATGCCGGAACTCGTGATCTCGGGATCCAGCACGACCATGATAAAGTCACCGCCACCCGCTGCGCTGCAGCCGACTCTCCGAATACTGAAAAGACCCGCAGCCACGTCGTCTGCGCACGCATCCGCCGTACCATCAGATACCCCAAAGTCATATGCCGAGCGGGAGGCGCAGTACCAGGCAGCGCGCGAGCGTATTTTCAACGACGGGCGCGCCCGGAGCCAGAGTGGGGGGACAGAGCGTGATGGCCTGGTGAGCGATAGCACGAGTGCGAAATCGAAGAGTGGTGTGCCAAGCGTCCAGATTGTGCGCGAGCCGAGGGGCCCAAGCGCACAGCCCGAGGAGGGTCAGGCCTTACAAGGGAATGCGCGTGCCTTGAGGGGTTTCACAGGGAGGAGGCACAAAGGGAATACAAGGGCCTAGAAGGTGCTCATGAGGCTGATGGTGGAGTTCTATAATTGTCTTGTAACGCTTCCACTGACGGTGGGCGGTGTATTCTAACTTACCTTTCGCTGGGCCCGCGCAGATTCTGCTGCCAGGCATGTTTTCTCTGCGTCTTTGTAATGGATACCCGTCTCTTTCCTCGGAGCTGTTACGATCATTGTGCTCCTCACGGCTGATCGACGCTAGCTCAAACATGACCAGTGCAGTGCATCGCAGGGGATACCGGCCTGCGCAGTCATAGTAGTATTGATGTGGATGATCCCTGAGGATGATTGATAGAAATGCGATGATGAGCAGTCTTATTACGCCAAAACTGAGTCAGAAATCTTCCCTGCGCTGGGAATTCAGCGGCGCGGCTTTTGGGGTCCGACACCGCGCTGTGGCAGGTGATAATTCAATATATACAAGTTCTCTTCATTCGTCTTCGCGGAGGCTCAGATTTCGGATGCTTTGGATGTCCTCTCTCAGCACAGTGAACATACCGTGTAACAATAATGAAGCTGTGGTTGAAGCACGACTCAAGATTATTATATCGCTCAATGTGTCTCATATGTGCAAACCGCCTCGCATATCAATGTCATTCTCTAATCCTACAATCCTACAACGAATACACTTATATGGTCGCTGCTTTACATCTACATACGCCCTCATTAATATTCTCAAAGATAACACTGTCTTCTATAAGTACTCACTGGCTGTTTCCAAGTAAGAGGACATCACGTAGGTCATGCAGAGGTAGGACCCCGGCGAGCTGCGATCGCTTCTGGCCCCAAACCGGAATTATCGCATAAGCGCGAATATAATAATAATTCTCGCGCGCGCTGGCCCTTCAACTGCAACGGTGACGACCCCAGGCCCTGCTCGACGTCCGCAACGACGACGAGCGTGCAGTCCACGATGCCCTTTAAACAATCTCCCATGGCGTTCCAGTCGCCGTCGCCGCAACCGTCCATTTTTAAGAAAAAGTCGTCGTCAGCCTTGCCCAGCGCGGCCTCCTACCTGTCCGCCGTTCACGAGGCTGATACTCGTGCCAGGGCCCATGGCAGCACGCCCAACTCGACGCCTGCCCTTTCGCTCTCCTCGTCCGCGACCTCGTCATCCTCCGAGACCGTGCTCGATGATCTTGGCCTCGACTATGACAACGGTCTGTCGTATCCCCGCGTTCCTCCGACGTCCGAACAGGTTTTCACCACCGTGCACTCCGAGTTCGGGCACTGCGCGAACGAGAAGTACAGATACACGTCGCAGCACCGTGCTGGAACGCAGTACAAGAGCTACCCGGAGCAGGACCCACCGTACTATATCCTCTTGACGACGTACCTCAGCTATCTGATGGTCATCTGCCTCGGGCACTTGCGGGATTTTGTTGGCAAGCGTCTCCAGCCCTCTCACTATCGGCATCTGGTTTCACAGCATGTAAGCCGCAACTGCTGATATGCAACACGTCTGCTAACGCTACTGCAGGGCTACGCTGCGTTGAACTCGGACTTTGACTCGTTTTATACACGTCGCCTCAAGACTCGCATTGATGACTGCTTCTCCCACCCGGTAACTGGCGTTCCTGGCCGAACGATGGTGCTCCTGGACCGATACTCACCCGATTACAACGTCACGATGGTGCCATCAGGCACGCGTACTCGTGGCCTCAACATCTCGTCATACAACTACCTCGGATTTGCCCAGGCTCGGGGCGGGTGCGCAGATGCGGTTGAGACGTCAATCAATAGATACGGTGTCTCAGCATGCGGCTCGCGTCTGGAGGGTGCGACACTAGACCTGCACCAGCAGGCGGAGGCACTTGTCGCACGCTTTGTTGGCATGGAGGATGCCCTGATCAGTTCTATGGGTTTCGCGACCAATTCGACCATCATTCCGGCGCTGGTAGGCAAGGGCAGCCTGGTCATCTCAGACGAGTTCAATCACGCGTCGATCCGGTTTGGTGTCCGCATCAGCGGGGCCAACGTGCGTACGTTCAAGCATAACGATATGCCATCCTTGGAAGCGCTTCTTCGTGAGGTTATTAGTCAGGGCCAGCCGAAGACACATCGGCCGTGGAAGAAGATACTGGTTATTGTCGAAGGTCTGTTCTCGATGGAGGGCACGCTCGCCAATTTGCCTGTGATTATGGAACTGAAGAAGAAATATAAGGCAAGTTTGATTCTGCGCGACGTCATAGCACCGCATTGACACTTCACTTCGCTGCAGTTCAACCTATTCGTCGACGAAGCGCATTCGATCGGTGCGCTCGGTCCGCATGGCCGGGGTGTTGCGGACTACTTTGGCGTCAACCCGCGCCAAATCGACATCCTCATGGGCACATTCACCAAGTCGTTCGGGGCTGCTGGCGGCTACATTGCTGGCAGCAAAGCGCTTATCGACCGTCTACGCGTTCACGGACACTCTGGCTGCTACGCAGAAGCAATGACACCGCCCGTGTTGACACAGGTGATCGCTAGCACGGCGAGCATCATGGGCATCTCTTCGGCACCGGAGAAGTCGAGTTCGTTGTCATTAACTGCCCGCTCGGATGCGATTAACCCGGAGCTCGAGATGGAAGCGTACCCTGGAAGGGCACCCCTTTCGATACTGCCCGCATGGATGCCGATCACGCCTTCCATGGCAGATGGCACTGATGGCAAGATGCGTCTGCGGCGGCTGGGGTTCAACGCGCGGTACCTCAATCGTGGCCTGCGCAAGCTCGGTTTCATCACATATGGGCATGACGACTCGCCAGTCGTCCCACTGCTGCTATTCAATCCGGGCAAGATGGCCGTCTTCAGCCGCTTGATGCGCACGCGCCAGGTCCCAATCATCGTCGTCGTCGTCGCGTACCCCGCAACGCCGCTGGTCACTTCGCGCGTGCGCTTCTGCCTCAGTGCCTCGCACACCAAGGAAGACGTCGATCTTGTGCTCACTGCATGCGACGAGATCGGTGACCTGCTCGACTTGAAGCAGGGATCTGGCGAGCGGTGGTCACTGCAAGAAATCACCGACCGGGCGGTTGAGCTCGTCGGTATGCCTGAGCTGGTGTAGTGGCTTTGGTACGTATGCGAGTAACGTAGGGAACAGTAATGACTTATGGTTGCTTACGGTTGCGACGTATGAACCCGCACTAATGGCTACCGTTACGAAGAGTACGAACTAAACCTCCGCGTATTTATGTAATTCGTTGTGCTCCAGGTGCTTTCTCTCGTTTCCGCACCTTGAGGTGTTTCGTTTCGCCAACCTCGTCTGTAGATATACTCTTCGAATCTAGTCGCGTACCGTACCCATGTACTTGGCTGTCCTGTGGGCAGCTGTGTGCTAATAGATGATGTCTTATCTTTGCGTACATTGGATCCAGTTCTGAGCTTTTCATTTCATTGTGCCTTTGCGCACAAATCCTATGGTAATGGTATCGACAGGACATAGCAACCATATGCATTACGAAAATGGAGAGATGTGTCAGACCCGCTCACCGCGGCCGATTACTTTGACCTATATGGCGACATGTCAGTTAGTTTGATGGTCAGTTCAGTGCGAAAACGAACTTTGAATCCAATCTGCCGCAAAGCGTCTGCATCTACAAGCATGCGGCCATCGAACACGAAGGCGGGCTTGTTCATGTGCGTGTACACTGTATGCCAGTCGATCTCGCGGAATTCCTTCCACTCGGTCGCGATGACAATCGCTTCCTTATTCTTGCAAGCCTCAATTGCGGACTTGACGATGGTAACCTGTTTCTTGACTGTATTCATAGTGTGAGTACATAAACAAATTCAACGACTCTTAACTGATTATACGCACTGAGCTCGAGCGGGACAGTCGGGCAGGCCTCAGCAAGGTCCAGCCAGATTTGTGTCTCCTCCACTTGCGGGTCGTAGATGGTGACGTAGGCCCGCTCTGAAAGGAAGTCACGGACGAGTGAGATGGCGGGTGACTCGCGCGTATCGCCGGTGTCGGCCTTGAACGCGAAGCCAAGCACTGCTATTTGCTGGAACGCCCTCATCAGCATCGGCAACGCACACAAGGAGAATGCCATACTTTGCCGGTGATCGTGTTGAAGAGCGTGTCGACGACTGTTTTGGAGAAGCGGCTCTTCTGGTACTCGTTCATCTCGACGACCTGACGCCAGTATGCGGCAACCTGGGGGAGGTGAAGGCTCTCTGAGAGGTAGACGAGGTTGAGAATGTCTTTCTGGAAGCAGGACCCGCCAAAGCCGACGGACGCGCGCAGGAACTTGGGCCCTATGCGCGAGTCGAAGCCGACGGCGTGCGCAACCTCGTCAATATTCGCGCCGGTTGCCTCGCAGATCGCGGAGAGCGCGTTCACAGAGGAGATGCGCTGTGCGAGCATCGCGTTCGCGGCAAGCTTGGAGAGCTCGGAGGACCAGAGGCCGACGGTCAAGATACGCTCCTTGCTATAGACGTATGCGTCAAAAAACCTCTTGCAAGTGGGTGTATGCGCCCATATATGCGCATGAAAGTTGCACTTACGGTACCCAGTTGGCGTAGACGTCAGAGAGGGACCCGCATGCGTCCTTGCCCTCCTGAGTCTGAAGTGACCCGATCAAAACACGGTCAGGGCTGAACAAGTCGCTAATTGCGGTACCCTCAGCGAGGAATTCGGGGTTGGAGAGAATGTCGAAGCGGCACCCGGGGCGTGAGTTTGCCTCGAGTATCGTACGCATAGACTCCGCTGTACGGCAGGGCACTGTCGACTTTTCAACGACGATCTTGGATGAGTGCGCAACAGCGGCAATACGACGCGTCGCCAGTTCGACATAGCTACAAAAACGCATTTAATGACTGAATATATGCGCTGCATGGAGCTCACAGAAGTGAGATGTGAGGGAAGTACGGATAAAAAGTATGCGCATCCAGGTCATGTTAGTGTAGATGGGCGCAAATGTGGAGTCAAAAAGGTCCAGTGGACGAGGACTACTAGTACGCCAGCGAACGGTTGAATGTAATACTCACTTGAGGTCAGCAGCAAAACCTGCCCCCACTCCGCTCTTCTTGGTCGGAGTATTTACACTGACGAAGATGAGGTCCGCCTCCTTGATGCCCTTGTCGACGTCGGTTGAGAAAAAGAGGTTACGCCCTCTCGCCTGCTTCACGACCTCAACAAGGCCGGGCTCGTAGATCGGTAGCGCGAAGTCCGCGCTATTCCAAGCATCTATGCGGGCCTGATTGAGGTCTACAATGGTGACAGTGATATGCGGGCACTTCAGAGCAATGACGGCGCAGGTAGGACCGCCTGAAGGGAGCGAATGAGGGAAGCTTCTCTTTCCCGTGTATACAGCTACCGCTCACCAACGTATCCGGCGCCAACTATCGAGACGCGTCTTCAGCGTCAGAATGACCTACGCGAGCTAAACACGTACTGCAGCAAATCTTTGTGACTTTCACGGGGGACATGGTGACAGTGGGGACGAGGATATGGAGGAGGGTGGTGCGGGGTAAGGGGAGGGGAGCAGAGATATTATACGACGGATGACGGCCAAGCCATGCACGGGCGGCTAGCATGCGGCGAACATCTCCAGCGCGGAAGCAGGCGCGTCACTTCCTACTGCCATCATCCCTCGCGCGGTTATTCTCCTCCTGTCTTGCCTCCGGCATATATGCATCATTTTCCGCGTGCGTTCCACACACCCGTGGCTACTCACATGTGTTCTGCAAGTTCCACCTTGGACAAGAGTCGACAACCGCGAGGATTGGTTTCATTAAGATCGGATCCGAAATCGGGACCGTACCGATCTTGCAATGTCCCCCTATCTACCTTCGTGTGCCCGGAGTTGTCGAGTTGCTTCGTGTCGAACACCGAGAGGTCACTCGGGAGCTTAACGCAGTGCATCGCGTAGTATCTACGGTAACGGGGGCTCATGAAGTTTTTCGATGATCAGTACGCATATGTCAGTACGTCATATCAGTGCCGGCGGTTCTTCGCCGCGGTCTTTGTCTTTCAGATATTCGGCATCGTCCCAGCACTCAACAATATGGAGTGTATCATGCAATGACCAGTGACTGAGTGATCTAACGCAGGACGCGAGCGTGAGGCTTTCGCACTCTTCTAGTGAACAGGCCAATGACGCGCCGAGTTAGTAGCTAGTAGTGTGATCTTGACACTCGTCGCATAATCAAGCTTGAAGACAGTGCGTAAGTGCTACATATGTACCTCATCAGCTTTTCGAAAGCGCTGTAGAGGAATCAGAGTCCTCATCAAAACACCTTGCAGAAGCACAGGTTCAGTTATGCACCACTGATTCATTACTGCACAATGCATAGGCCGGCGAAAGACCTTATAGGTACCAAACATATTGCCGTGAACAACCGTAGTAGGTCAATATTCTTCACAGGTAACCACACCGGATCAGAAGCGGGTCTTGTGCAAAAGGAGTGCCAGCTTGGCGTAGAGGGCCATATCAGGTCATGCCGTGCGATGCTCATGAAGGCGAAAATGAATACATAGCATATGTCACATATGAGTCGCAATAACGGCTAGCAGGCCTCTCCACGAACAACTGCACGCTTTAAGAACGACCCGCACCAGGAACGTTCCGTCGCTCGCGTCGAGGGCCGCGCTCGGGTTGAGCGAGCACAGGCGTCACCACGTTGACTTGCACTGAATCAAAGTTCAGGGAGTGGAGAAGGTCCTAAATGGAGGGTGAAGACATTAATACTGGCGACTGCGCCTTAATAGCTCAGTCACGCACCTTGGTATCAGGGTCAACCTCCAGACCGTTGACACTTGTGTCAAGTGCCGAGACTTCTGGCACGTAGTTGTCCTTCCGCTCACGCTCCTCTTCCTGCAGCTTGAAGGAGATACCGCGGACCGGGCCGCGCTGAATACGCTTCATCAAATGAGTCGTGAAGCCTGCGATCTTGTTACGGAGGCGTTTTGAGGGAACAACAGCCTGGAACCGGATATTTAGCATCTCCAGTCCCGCCGCGAAGAAACGCACGCACCACTTCATCGATGATTCGCTTGTTGGTGTGGAAGTCGAGAGTCAAGCGAGGGTAGCTAAAGACGCAAGACGATCAGACATTCGTTCTGCATCCAAAGAGCCGAGCATGCTGTCTAAACGACCTAACGTCGGTCATGAGGGTGATGCTACTTACTACTTCTCGATGAGCACACGGGAGGCCCTCTTGGTGGTTTTGGTGCGAACGCGGCCCTGTAAACCCAATCAGTACAGGCGTCAAGTAGCATGTCGCCCAGCAGTCGATACAGACCATGTTGACGAGTCGGAGGAGGTGGACAGTGAGCGGGCGGGGGATGAAGCGGCTACCAATAGCCTGGCACAGGCCTAGTCGACGGGCAGGCGGGCGCGGGTTCGGCATCTAACGGGTGGCTGCTGTGGTCCTGTATAGTTCCTCCCACGTGATATACACCTAAAGCGGCAATTGTCGCCTACATTCTTCGGCGCGACAAGTGGTAGTCTCCGACCCTCATGGTTACAATACACTTTAGGCTAGTGATATATACATTATGTACATCTATCCTTGGCTCTCTTCGCTTCCGTATGCGTTGCTTTTGTGTTTGGGCGTAAATGTCCACGATTCTGGCGCAGGACCTAAGAACATTTCGGAGATCTTTACCCAGTCTCTGCTGTCCGCGCTTGCCAGTAACGTTTCTGCAGAGTGTGAGCTTAGCTTCGTAAATAGGTCGACCATGTTCATTAGCACCCACCTAATTCGTCTCGACCGCGGAATGCTGGGGCACGATCATTGATGCGTGCGGGGAGCGTCTCGAGCAGGCCGATTGGTATGTAACGGTATTGGAACGAGAGGGCTTCACAAAGATAGCGACGCGTGGTGTTCACACCGGCTGTGTCTGAACCAAAGTGGCTGTAAATGAATCAGTGAAGCCGCACGCGACCAGCGCCAATTGTAGATGACATACTTCAGGCCGTATTCGGCGTACTAGCGATGAGAATGAGCACTTTGTTCGGCTGACTGATTCATCGGTAGAACGAACCTTACGAGCGAGCTCCAGGCGTTCTCGCGAGCTGATATCCCACTCTCTCCGCTCCTTAATCTCGGTGAAGATCCATGGCTTAATGAGGGCGCCGCGCCCGATCATCACACCGTCGACCCCGCTGCTCTCCATCTTTTGCCAGTAATCTTCGGATGAGAAGCAGTCACCGCCGCCGAAGATAGGCACAGGCGGCACTGCAAATATAGCGTCAGATACGTCGACGAGGATATATGGCACACGGCCTTACGATCTTCATCCGCCTCTCGCGCGCGTACAGCCTCGACGCATTGTTTGATGTAATCCCAATCAGCCACTTTGGTGTACCGTTGTTGTCGAGTGCGGCCATGAAGCTGCCCGACCCGTTGTGCGTCCGTTAGACAGCAGCATGAAGTGGCCGTGACCACGTACCGTTATCGCGGATGCCCCAAACTCAGCAGCAACGCGAGGCATGAGCTTGTGCGCGTTGTTCTTCCCGTCCTTTACCCCGGTTCGCAATTTCACCGTCATTGGGATTTCTCCCAGTGCTTTGTTCATGCCGGCGATGATCTTACCGAGCTTACCTGCCGCATCAAGCACTATAGTGCATCGTCAACAAGTCGAAATCACCCAGGTTCATAACAGGGACTCACATGCAGACCCGCTACCTTGCTTGTATACGAGATCAATAGGGCACCCGCAATTGAGGTCGACAAAGTCAAGGGTTCCGGCGCATTCGCGCCCGATGGTCTCCGCTGCAGGAACCAGGAGTGAAGGCTTGCTGCCGGCGAGCTGCACGCCGAATATGGACTCAGAGGGATGTCGCCGCACAAGTGACCACTCCTCCTTTGAGCCCTGCAGGAAGGAGAGCGCAAGGCCCACTATATGTGAATTAATAGAGGAGAAGTCTGATACATACTCTTATACATACTCTCGCCGCAAGTGATGTCCACGCCATATTCGACACAAAGCCGGCGAAATGGCTAGGAGAAAGGTCAGAACTAGCTGGGCAAGAGATAGCTGTATGAACGCACCAAATTCCCGACAGTTGTCAGTGGTGCGAGGTCTAAATATTATCAAGTGACAAGAGGAGCAAAATTAGATCGATACTCACACGTTTTACCATGCCAATTTAATCTCTTTTTCTCTGCGAAGCGGATGGGGACATCGGGAGTGTCATTCTGAGATGTATCTTCCTGTGTCGTTGCAGTTCCCATGATCTTCTGAGCAGGCTGAATTTCGCCGTCGGCTGGCTGGCTACCCTTACCGCCCTTTTCATCATCACCAGTTGATTCTAGTAATACCTTGAGATACGCTTCGGAGATTGGTTGCGGATACTGCACAGATGCAATGGAGGAATTAAAGACATACATAATAGCATACACATACCTTTTTCGTTCTGATGAGCTTCAGAGTGTTTGCGTCTATGAAGTTCACTTCAGTCTCAGCGATCGCTGCGTCTGCCTTCCTGTCCTCGTTTATGTTGAGTTCCAGGATAGCGCCCTCGCCTTCACGAACATGTCCTCCAAGAAAGCGACACTTCAGGCCGTGCTTGCATTCTCCGGTGCGCTCAAATATGGGACATCTAGTGGAGAAGTCTACCGATGGATGTTTCTCGTTGATCATCTCTTCGTCCACAAGTGGCCGCACGAATGGCGGGCTGTTTGTCAGATCCTCAGAGGTCGGGAAGTGTACATCTCGTGGCTTCGCGGAGAGGTATGCAGATGTATCGTGCGTGAACCGGCATCTGCAAATACGGATGCGAACAGACAGACACTCAGAACGGCTTCGCAGGCGAACAGGATGCCATGGCACGCACTCTGCACCAAACTCGCAGGCTTTACCGGTGGCGACCTTCCAGCATAGCTCGACCTCATCCCGCACCTTTTGGAATCGACGACCCTTGTTCGCCCCGCGTTTGTTCTTCCGCTCCTCCTTGGCGAGCGCTTTGCGCTGTGCACCAGAGAGCCTTTTCCCGCCCTCCGGATCTGGATCGGCGTCGTCCCTCCGCCCGTTCGCATGGGTCGTGCTTCCTTCCGCTGCGTCGTCGTCGGGCAAATCGCGAGGAGCAAATGACACGAGGAACCTGTGCTGAGTTGGTTGAGTATGGCAAGGCGCACGGATTGGCGGACTTACTCAGACTTGATCGGCGCAGTTCCTGGTGGCAAACCCGACATCGCCATTTCAGCTTTACAATACGCACGATACACGCCGTCGAAAGAGCTGAGATGCTCCGACCCTCTCGGAATGATGCAAGCTTCAAAGAAGTTTTATGCTCGGTGCTTGACAAGGCGAGAGCGGGGTACAAGATAAGATTAAGATTCCGCTATGCGCAAGCCGGCTGATGGATCACCTTGGACGATCTCAGCTGCTCATGCACATCAACAATCCAACAACTAGAAGTTCTCATATGATTCTGGCCCATAGTAGGCGATGATGCCCATGTCTCTGTTGATAGTGCGCTCCCACCACGTATCACGACACCCGGCCCTATAATCATCGTGCCCAGCATGCTCAGCAGCGCATCCTACGTCTGCGATCCACGCCCGGACTATCCTCTTGTCATCACAGCCAAGCGCTACTGGATCTCCGAGCTCTCGTCGGATGACCCAAGCGCACTCACTCTCGTACTTGCCCATGGTACAGGCTATCACAAGGAACAGTGGGAGCCGACTATTGAGTGCCTATATGAGTACATAGGCAACGATGCGTCGCAGACAGTCAAAGTCAAGGACGTCTGGAGTATTGACGCCCCGAACCATGGCGATGCCGCTGTGCTGAATGAAGCGACGTTGAGATGGGGATACGACATATGTACGTGCAATGTTTGTCGTAGCTGTCACAGACAGTACTCACCAACCACGGCCAGTCGACTGGGCCGAGTATTCGCGAGCAATACACATATTCCTCGCGGGTCTAGGTACAGGTGTAGACGTGGACTTCAGCAAACGGAACCTCGTTGGCATCGGTCACTCGATGGGTGCAGTTGCACAGTATGTCTTTCGACACTTATCGGCCATATCTCCTATACCCATACTTTTGCAGCATCCTCTGCAATACGTTCTACCCTAAAATGCCGTTCAAGTCATTTATTCTTGTCGAGCCGATGTGCTTCCCGCAAGAACCAGCTGGGATGACAAGAGATTTCGGTGTGTTCCTCACTAATAGCGCGCTCAAGCGCCGCGACATCTTCCCGTCCCGCGAGGATGCGCTCGCCTGGCTGAAGTCTCGCGCTGGTTTCAAAGTCTGGGACGAGCGTGTATTACAAGCTTTCGTTGTACGTTCATGCATACATCGACTTAAGCCTCAGGTTAGGATCCATGGTTTCCATGTTTTGTAGGATCATGGAATGCGGGATCTGCCCACGGCGGAGTACCCGGACAAAAAGGACGGTGTCACCCTCAAGTGCACGCGTGCCATGGAAGCGGTACGTCTACAGTCTCCGATTAATGTCGCCTATGTTACAGAAATGCTAAGGAGATTGTCTCGCAGGCATGCTATGTTCAGCATACCAATACCGGTCGGGTTCGTGGTTACAACTATCTACCATACCTCTGCTCGACATATCCCGTGCACTTTTTGTATGGCGCCGTGGACGACTACATGTGAGTCTGCATGACCTCCGGACTGTTGTGCCCTTGAGCGTCTATCTTGTGCGCAGACCTGCGGCAGTGAAGGAGCACACATTGTCATATGGCACGCAAGGAAAGCATGCATCTGTAAAACAAGTTCCAAATGCTGGACATGTAGTAAGCAGAGTCACCTCACATATAGTTTATAAGATTGATCACTAATATACTCATGTCGCATACTGCTGCTGAAAACAGGTTGTACAAACACACCCTTGTGAGCTGGCAAGTGCAATTTGGGCAACCCTGAGTAGTGATCCTGTACCTCAATGGGAGAAGTGCAAACTTTAGCTAGAATATTTAATGCTGACTTTAAAGTCATGATATACTACTTGCTGTGATTGAATAAGATGTAGTGCTGTTTGTCATTCTTTGATTGTGTACAACCATGTAAGAATTGTCTTTCAAAGGAAACCTGTAAGTATACTATATTCAGTTGTGGCATGACACCTACAATACTCAACTAAAACTGTAAATTATTATATTAATTTGGGTTAGGCCAGATAAATAAACTATTGCAACACAAACATATGTTAGTGGCTGAGGAAAAAAAGGGAAAGAGCAAGAGTGTCATTGTAACAGGCCGGAATGTACAGGATATTTTGGCTAGGACAGTTACTGAGACCAACAAATTTTCTCATCAAGTCAAAATGCTAGTGCTATAAAATTGACTTCTCCCTGTAGTTTATAAGCTGGGGCACTTTGTAACTACAAAACAGCATACTATGAATAGAAGTGCAGATGTCATGACTTGAAGTCAAGCAACAGGAGAATGAACAAACCTAAAAGCCCTTGGGCGTTCAACTAGTTCTAACCAAAGTGACAAACAAGCAAAGCTTGTGTCACGAGTTGGCACGGCATCTAGCCGTTTTTTTGATTTTTTCCTTTTCGCGGGCTCGAACCCGCGACCTCTGTACTACTTGCCTGATATGGACGCGTCACCATCTACTGTACAATTAGATTAGATGGGGCGGCAGCGCACGGCACAGCTCTGGCTCCGCTGACACAGCCGCTCTGACTCACCGGCCCCCGGGGCCGCGTCGGCATGCTGTGCACGGACCAGGTGCGCACGGACCAGTGCGCACAGCCTCCCCTAAACATCCCCTGTATATAAGCCGGCCTCTGCTGCCCTAGGGACCTCAGTTTCGACCTCTTGTCCCTAGGTCAGTAAGCTCCCATTTGTATCCCTTATTTACCTTTACTAACTAATATACTTTCTTGTCCCTAGCCTTAGGTTTGAGCGTTGCTCACCATCACTTCGGTAAGATCTAGTCGGACGCCCCCAGCCTTTCAGTTTTTTCCAGTCGCTTGACCTCAAGTCGCGACATTAGGTCAAAACTCCCCAAGCTGCCGGCGTCCCCTCGGGACCTCTTACATTCACTTTCCTTTCCCACAGGTCGGGTGGTGCGCACCCCTATGGTACATTACAATACGTAGATAGCGTACATATATCGCCACCACTTAGGGAATGAACTCTTCAGTACCTGCACTTCAGTGGGCGGTACTTGTCCTCACAGACACATGGACTAGGTTCCTGCTGCATAATAGTCAAAAGCAGTACTGGGCCCCACGTGAACTGCGAACCCTAGTGTCTTCTCGGGCGCCGTAGTGTAAGCTAGATAGCACGGCCATTGTAGTATGCGCACCTCCCCGTCCTTCCCCCATCCATCGTGGCTGCTTGTCAAGGACAGATCCACGCGTTCGACTCTCAGGATCTCATCGACGTCTACATCCCAGACGACCCTAAGACTGTCCTCTATCGTTGCGAGCAGTAGCCATGCCCAAATCAGACACCCCGATCGATCGAGGAGGATTACCCTCGTTACAAGGTGATCCGACAAGCGCAACATCCGCTCGGTCCTCGAAGCACCCTTGCATCTCGATCCGCCTCGCAGCACTCTTGCCCTGTCTCCCCCAGCTCCCGCCTCCCTCAAACTGTCGTCGCCGATCCAAGTCAAGCGCGAGGAGATCTCCCTCCAGACCCTGTGCCAGAGCCTGAGCCTGAGGAGGGTGAGGGTGAAGAAGGAGTCTTGGAGTCCGAGTCCACGGATTCTGCTTGGCCCGCCTTGCCGACAGCGTTCGCCCCCGCGTCAGCAGTCCCTGACGTACGTGACCCCCCCCCCCCCGAACTTTCTCCGGCGCCTTCACCGCCGACTCCGCCGAGAGGCCGCTCGAGCACTCGCTCCTCTCGAAGTTCGACCAGCGGAGGGCCACCACAGCCACCTCCGCCCCCGCAACGTCCTCCGTCCCCCCCAACGCCGATAATGTCGTCCCCCGCAGCCGCCCCCGACAAGGAGACGTTAAAGCTCCTCCTCCCACTCCGATATGATGGCAAAACTGTCATCGAGTGCGACAGGTTCTTGTTGCAGCTGCGCATCTACTGGATGGTCAACATGTCGTTGACCACCATCGAGCTCAAAGTACAGGTTGCGCTCAGCCTACTCGACGGTGATGCGCGCGCCTGGGCCACTGTCGCGACTTGAGGTCGAGCGACAGGAGAAAACCTAAAAGCTGGGGGTGTTCGACTGGTTCTTACCGAAGCGATGGTGAGCTAGGCTCGAACCTAAGGCTAGGGACAAGAATATATTAGTTAGTAAGGAAAGGTAAGTAAGTACAAGAGAGCTTACTGACCTAGGGACAAGAGGTCGAAACTGAGGTCCCTAGGGCAGCAGAGGCCGGCTTATATACAGGGGATGTTTAGGGGAGGCTGTGCGCACTGGTCCGTGCGCACCTGGTCCGTGCACAGCATGCCGACGCGGCCCCGGGGGCCGGTGAGTCAGAGCGGCTGTGTCAGCGGAGCCCGAGCTGTGCCATGCACTGCCGCCCCATCTAATCTAATCGTACAGTAGATAACGATATGTCCATATTGGGCATGTAGTACAGAGGTCACAGGTTCGAGCCCGCAAAAAGGAAAAATTAAAAAACGGCTAGACGCCGTACCAACTCATGACATTACCCCCCCCTCAACAGCGCATGACCTCATGCGAGGCGCCCTTGCCCATCTCCCACCCAGAGCGGCAGCGTGCTTCAGTTAGCGGCGAAGGCATTGGCTGAAAGTTGAGACCACCAAAGGTAGCAGCGTTGAGTCGACGAGGGGCGTTCGGATTCTTCCGGTGGAAGTCGGCTATGAGGGCCGGCGCATTGGCAACGTTGCGCACCGCTTCCCATGACGTATGCGAATCGTCATAACCCTTCCACTTGACGAGGTACTGTAGCTGCCGCCGGAAGATCCTCGAATCCTTGATCCGCTCGACCTTGTACTCCTCGTTGCCCTCAACCTCGATCGCAGGCGGCTCCTCCGGCTCCCGGCCCGGGATATTGCTACGCGTGTACTTGCTAAGCAAGGAGACATGGAACACCAGGTGCACCGGCACCGACTTCGCCAGGACTAATTCGTAATCCAAGTCTCTGAGCTTTCGCCGCACAGCATAAGGCCCAAGGCGCTTGGGACTGAGCTTCTTGCTTGGCTGTTTCAGCTTAAGGTTCCAAGCGTCAAGCCAGACCTTGTCCCCTGGCGCAAAGACCGGTGCCTCCTGCACGTGCTTATCGTAGTACACCTTCATGCGCTCGGCTGACAGCTCGAGCGCAGAGCGCGTGTCGTCGCGAATCTCCTTCAGGATCTTCAGCCAATCAGCGGCAGCAGGCATCGCGGACATCAGATTGATCCGAACCTGGATCTCAGGATTGTACCCTTGATGCAGGAAGAAAGGGGAGTGCCTGGTTGCGGAGTGAACTCGGTTGTTCAGTGCAAACTCCGCGAGCGGCAACTGCTTTGCCCAATCATCCTGCCTGTGGCTTGTGAAAGCACGCAGGTACTGCTCAATTTCCTGATTCCAGCGCTCAGTTTGGCCATCTGTCTGAGGATGGAACGCTGTAGACAGCACCGGCTCGATCCCTAGCCCCTTGTACACCGCATGGAGATACTTCGAAGCAAACTGGGGACCTTGGTCTGATATGACCTTGGCCGGGGCCCCATGATGCTTGAACACATCGCGGATGTACAGATCCGCCGCACCTTCTGCCGTCAGGGTCTCATGACAGGCTGAGAAGTGGACCTGCTTGGTGAAGCGGTTGGCGGTCACCAGGATCGAGTCGAATCCATCAGACTTCGGCAAGCCAACGATCATATCGGTCGTGATGATCTGCCACGGGCGCTCGGGGATCTCGTTTGGCTTCAGCGGACCCTGGGGCTTGGCTGGGAATGTCTTGGTACGGTTGCACACGTCACAGATGCTTACGTACTCATTGACAAACTTGGACATCCCAGGCCACCAGTAGTTCCGCGATACGAGCTCCAGGGTTTTGGCACGACCACCATGACCGGCGATCAGCGAGTCGTGGTGGATCTTAACGATATCCCGCCGGAGCTCCGCATTCTTTGGGACGTACACGCACCCGCGGAACAGCAGGAGCCCTTGTTCGGCATTCCACTCCTCAAAACCCCTTTGCAGCCGGGGCGGTCCGAGGTCCTGCACCTTTTCAAGTGCCTCGGCCACCTCCCGATCCTTCTTCGAGCACTCTCAGATGCGCTTCAGAAGTGACTGATCAGCCGTCACCAAGGCATGACCGCGCCTGGCAGAGGCGATGCGGAAGCGCTCTGGCTTGAGAACTACCTGATCGGTGTTATCGTCCTCATTGCCGATCTTGTCGCGACTTGAGGTCAAGCGACTGGGGAAAACCTAATAGCTGGGGGCGTCCGACTGATTCTTACCGAAGCGATGGCGAGCTGTGCTCAAACCTAAGGCTAGGGACAAGAAATGTATTAGTTAGTAAAGGTAAGTAAAGGATACAAATGAGAGCTTACTGACCTAGGGACAAGAGGTCGAAACTGAGGTCCCTAGGGCAGCAGAGGCTGGTTTATATACATGGGAAGATTTAGGGCAGGCTGTGCACGTTGGTCCGTGCGCAGCTGGTCTGTGCGCAGCATGCCGACGCGGCCCCGGGGC